CCTGGAACATAAAGAGTTGCTTTTGGCAGACAATGCTAAGAGACACTATGAAGTCCTGGAGCGACGGCCAGTCAGACCTTTACAGCAGTGATCAGGAAGAGGAAGAAGAGATGATCTTTGGTGAAAATGAAGATGATTTGGAAGAGATGATGGATTTAAGTGACTTGCCTACCTCATTGTTTGCCTGCAGCGTGCATGAAGCTGTGTTTGAGGCACAAGGGGAGAAGGTAAGGGTACTTATGAAGTATAATGAGTTATATAAATGTTGTTCTAGGTAGGTGTGCGCCTTGTTTAGATTTGCCAAGTGATAATACTTGATTTAATGGGAAAAAATGAAAACATTTGCCAGTACAACCAAATTGGAATTGGTGCTGCTACCAGGCAGCAGGTAAGAGTAAATCTCTGGCATGCAGAGTGGTAGTATGGCTGTGACACTTTTCACGGTATGTCTGTGTGCTACTCTTCTGAGCAGGATTTAAAATTTAAATCTGGGATGAAAACCATTGTTAAATACTGTGGTATTTGTTCTCAATAGTCATTGGCTGATCTCAATAATTAATGGTATTTTTGGAAGTGGTTTGCAATTTCTTCTGCAGAGCGTCTTTTTCTGAACCACTAACATTTTTATTTAGTCAGATTTGTAGTTCTTTTTTGTTTCCATTGGCTGTCAGGAAGTATGAGTTAAAAAACCAAAAACAAAAAAAACCCACCCCCAAAAATTATGGATTATTTGTGGGTGATTCATATAAGGGAGGAGAGTTTGATCTTATAACTTCCTTCCAATTTTGATTTACAACAACATTTGCAAAGCCTCTAATTCTCTCCTAAATTCTGTATGTTGCCTGAGGGAAGGTGATGGTATCACTTGGGAAACATTGTTCTGGAAAGCAGGGGTGCTAAGTGGTGCCCCTCAAAATTAAGCTGAGGGACAGCAAACTGCATTCCTAAAGTAGCTTTCATAGCAAAGAAAGCCAATGAAAGTCTGGTGAAGATACTTACAGGAGTCCCCCTGCCATAGCTACTAGGTACAACAGATAACTATCAAAGTCATCAAATAAGGTATTACTCTTGTCACCCTAGGTTTTGGCTGTTTAAACTCACTCTTCCTTCTTTCCCTTCTTCTTCTTTCTCATACCTTTTGTCTTCTCTTCTCTCTGTCGTTATAAGGAAACTTCTGCCAAAATGCACTTGTTGCAGTGGGGTCTGAAGCTGGGCAGATCTCATACAGAGAGTGTTTCTCAGTGTAGGACATCAGCATTGAGAGTGCTCTGCCAGTAGCTCTCCTTAGACACCTACAATTTCCAATTCCTGAGGTGAGGATCTGTGGAGCAACAGCTTAACAGTATATGATCTGAATGCAGCATATAACAGTATTACTTTCCTTTCCAGAGTTAAGGGCTGTTGTATCTGGCTCATAATTAATAGTGCCAATAAAGTATCAAGGTGATTAGGGATGTCTTGGAAAAATCTGCTTGGTTGTTTACTTTCCCATAATAAATAGGGGTTTTCTTTAATAAATCAATAAATAAATACATAAATAAAAATCCATTAGTAGCTTTTTCATTGTGGCAAACAACAGACAAATAGGTTTTGCGTATGGATGGATGTACTTTAATGATAGTTTTGTGCAAGGGCAGCTTAGATATATTTCTAAAAGAATTAAAATTCTGATTTTAACCTGTTACACTTCTGCCAAAACATCCTATTTATTTATATCAAACACGGAGGTACTAGCAAATTTCATAAGCTCTGAGAGTGGGAAATCAATTATATCTGCACTTACTTGAAAAAAAACAAAGAAGAATTTTTAATAGCTTCTTCTGTAGATAAAGTATTTTTATTTATTAAAAGTAAAGTAATATAATGGCTCAAGTACATGTCCTTTCTTTTCTTGGTTCTTGGCCATGTTGGGTCACTGGAAACTACATAGTATGTCCATGTTATGAGGTAGGTGATGCCAGGTCTGTCCACAAATCTAAAATTCAGATAAAAAAAGGTACACATCCAGAGGTTCATTCTTCAAAAATGTCTGTCCATAAGATATTACAGGTAAAACTTAATTACCTGAATATATATGCAGGGAAGGTTCTTTGAGTAGATGTGATATCTTTTATTAGACCCACTGAGTAGTTGGGGGAAAAACATTCTTCGCAAGCTTTTGGGCGCAATCACCCTTCTTCGGGCATTGGGAGTCTGCTGTTCTGAGACTCCAAGGAATGCGAGAAGCTAAAAGTGTGGCAGGATGTCACATATAGTGTTGGAAATACAACACCCCCAAGGTAGGTAGTCAGCATTATCCCCATTTCTTAGTTAGGAAAACTAAGGCATAGATATTGATGTGGAAAGTTGATCAAAACCATACAACAAGCCATGTTTGGAATAGGGATAAGTTTTTAAAGGTCCCTGTAGTGAGACTGCTACTTCTGTCCCTGTATCTGTTTATTTCTGTGGCTGATCAGCGTTGGAGCCACAGTGAAGGATTCTAACCGTCTCGGTAATGATAAATGTCTATTTAGAGATAGTTGGCTCTAAAAAAAAAAGATAGCTTTTTTTCCCCCGCAGAAAATTTTGACTTTTTGCTGGAAAATCAAAACCAAAATAATTTGCTTTGGAAATGCTGTTCCCCTTTTCCTCCATAGGCTGTGCTCCCTTGTCACGGTAATGATAAATGTCTATTTAGAGGTAGTTGGAAGATGGCTTTTTTTCCCCGCAGAAAATTTTGACTTTTTGCCGGAAAATCAAAACCAAAATAATTTGCTTTGGAAATGCTCTTCCCCTTTTCCATGTTCCCCTTTTCCTCCATAGGCTGTGCTCTCTTGTTGGTGTACATCTACCTTGATGCGCCCAGGTCTCTACCCCTGGAGAGAGGCAGTACATCACAGAAGATGCAGTGCGGCAGGGGCGCTTGCTGGGCCAGAGACAGGAATGGGTTTGATGCAGTCGAACCACAACTCCCAGTAGCCTGTCATCTCTGGATCAAAATTTTTTTGATATGTGATTGAAATATTTGTTCTGAGGCTAAAACTCAGCTTCAGTCTTCACACGTTTGTTTTTCATAAAAAGTGAAGAAAAATTCTACAGAAAGAAAACAGGTTTTAGAGCAGTTTTATTTATTTGATTTATATGGCACTCTTCCCAATGAAGGCTTAGAGCAGCTTACACTAAGAGAACAGAGCCATTTATAAAACAGGAGAACAAATAGGACAAACAAAAACAATAAAAAACTTAAGGCAACTAGAGTATCAACATAAAACAGAATCCTCACCCCGCAAACAATATCCCAGCCTAGCTTTCTTTGTTAAATGCCTGCCCCAATAGGAAGGTCTTACAGTACTTCTGAATGATTTTCTTGCATATCATCTTTTTACCATCAAAACAGTTTGCTGGAAAGGTTTTTCTGCAAGTCCAGGCTTTTTGTATGAAATGTTTGCTGTTCATTCTGAAGCACTCAACAAAGATGCATGTGCCACCACCGTAATGCTCCCATCTTTGGACGGTGGGCAGCAGTCACATGGCATATGTGTAATTAACTGAGCTATGACCCGAAAAGTAGATGGCTGCAGGGATGCCAGAGTACTGTTAAGACTTCTGGGAACTCTGATGTCTATGTACAGCAGACAAACCCTCAGGTCAAAAGATCTATAGGCAGTAAACAGCATGGAATTCAATTTATCTGCCCTGATAAAATGAAGGGCTGAGCCATCCTCTCCCAGGTGTGAACATCTCATTCCAGGGAGCCTTGGCAGATCATCAATTTTTTTTACAGCATGGCTTAAATAACAAACTTTCACTGCCCATTAGACTAGAGTCGGGGTTAAGTCTCCTGTTCCTAAGAAAGGAGAAGGACAGTGCGGTGTAGGTATGTGTACTCAGCATGGACTTCTGTCCCCAAATAGAAACACAGCAAGTATTCTAGCTCTAATTTTAGGCTGAGTTGCTTAGAGGGATCACTTTTAGCAACAGTATTGTTGTCTATTAAAATATTACACTGGCGTTTTTGGCATCTTTTTTATAACTCATAGTAAACTATATTTAGCCCGTGAGGTGAGGATGATTTTATTCCTTATTCTTTTATTCTCTAAAGGACACTGAAAAAGAAGAAAAATCCTAAAAGACTATGGGCCCATGGGTAGAAGTTCTGTTAGTTAGTGTTCACTATCAATTTCTAAAGTAATGTGTCTTCTTTTGCACTTCAGATAAGCTACACAAGGTCTATGTTTAAAGTAACTTTTCAGAGGAGCCAGTCTTCAAAGCTGTGTCCTGAATAAAAACAATAATTAAGTTAGTTCCCTTCATATATTTTTGTAAGTACTAAACCACATTATTATTTTCTGTCCATTAGCACTTTAATTGTTAAGAGGAAGGGCTCATCCATGCTGAGGTGAGACGATTGTGTGCACGTGGCTCTTGCTAACAGCTTTCTGGAATGACTTCCTTAACCGGAATAGAACAGACAGATGGACGGACACCAAGTCATTCTTCATATTGGCTCTCTGTGCACGTTAGGCGCAATCTTATCTGTCTGTAATGACCAAGAAAACCATAGAACCCTTTCAGCGGCAAGTGTCTGCTTGCTTTTGATCCCAGTTCCTTCCAAGTATTTTTTTTCCCTCAAGACCATTACTTCTAAAGGAATACATCTTGGGTTTTCTCGCTCTGTATTTCCCCCTGTGTTAAGGGAAATAGTTTGTAAAAGCATTTTTAAAACTCTTTCTGGGAATGCGATTGTGCCAAAAGACGGGAGGATAACTTAAATTTCCTTTTTTGGAAATGGATTTAGTGTGTCCTTAAACCAAGAAGAGCAAATTCAGATAGGAAAAAAAGGACGCTAGCCCCTTTTTTCTGTACTCAGCGGAGCTCATAATACACTGGCAAAATGTGAAGCCATTAAAAAGTTCCTTGAACGGAGGGACTATCCCTGCACTGCTTGTCCCCTCTCTGCTCATTAAACAGCCTACAAAAGCAACTTCAGGGGGTGGGAATTTCAATCTGTACACCCCAAAAGTCCTTTGCTCCTTGGCCTCACCAATATTAGTTGTAGTGGCAAACAAAGCTCATCGTTCTGCCAACCTATAGGAAAAGTTGAGCTACGTTGTGCCTGCTCTGTAATGGCTGACACCCTAGGTTTCTAGAAAATCTGGACAGTGGCTGCTCCCTGCTGCCTGTTTTTCTGTGAATCATTCTTTGGACACAGTGGTGGTCCGGGGTAGGAGTTGTTAGAAGGCAT